AAATTCACACAAATTCAGCAACTGAAAGGTGAATGAGAAAATCTGCTTATTTGCTTTTCTATCACTTTATCTTATTTCAGTGCTAGGAGAAAACACATTAGAAAATTTCCCATATAATATTTTAGGCCAAGTTCTCTATTCAAGTCAACATTAGTAGAGCGTACTGATTAAAAACAGATGACACCTTAGTCTAGTGCCTCTGTGAAGATAAATATTTAACCAATATTTTTAGGACCTAGAGAAGGATCATCAGGACCCCTTCAAATGCTTCTTCAGAAGCAATAGTAACCTCTGTTATCAGACTTTGACTAAAGACAGAGCAAAACATTGCTGATCACAATTAATCTGAGTAAAATTAAAATTCAAATTAAAATTAAAATTATTTTTAAAAATTGGCTAATCACAATTAATCTGAATATTACTTCGTTATGGATAACACTGTTTTAAATTAGGGTAGACTCAAATATAACTGTTAAAAGAAGCCAGCAGGATAACAAGCATCTTTTTGATTCAGGGAAATACTTTTGATGACAATTATATGCCAAAAATCAATCTTGAAGTTCTATGTACTGGGAATAGAAATGTTAACTTCATCTCAGAAAATGGAACTACAGATGCTCAGACTGATCTGAAAGAGACTTGTGCACATCATTTAGCATGAAGGAAAGTAGACTTGTGATAATTTTCCTTTTTACAATAAATGTAGCTGTTATTTACAAGAAACAGAACTTCAGGTCTGGTCGTTTTTCAGCTGAGCTGAGACAAAATTTTCTCTAACAAGGAACTCTAACTGCTCACATGGAAGAGAAGACAGATCAAAGGTACATACATAAAAGAAAGAATTACTGGACACAAATGAGTACCCAAAACCTATATTTCTGGGTCAATTCCCACACCTCAAAACTAAGGCCTTTCCACCTAAAGAAAACACAAAATTGCTTTTTGCCAGAAAACGAGCAGCACTGAGAGCAAATTTAAACTATAGTCCTGGTTTCAAAACAACCTAATATAATTTAGGGAGTTTGGATTAATTTATAAAATACAGATGGTAAACAACTAACACATGGCAGTTTTAGCATTCTTGCTGTGAACACTTCAGTAGATTCAGATCCAAAAAATTATTGGAATTAAAAATAAGTGTCCCAACCTGCAAAATAGAGACACCATGGCTCTGACATCAGCAAGTGCTGAATTCTCAGCTAGGTAGCATAATTTCCAAACGAGATCTTTCTATTACATAAAATAGTTTCTAGAAGTTGCCAGCAGTGAGCTTAACTTGCAAAAAACAGATAAAGAACAGCCATTAGCAAGTTATGTGGTAAGGAGTGTTGACAGTTCACAGCAGCTTTACTTACCTAGATGTTGCCATATGTCAGCAAAGTCATTGGTAGGCTAGCCTGGCAAACTTCTGGTGCAAGAATTTCCAGCAGAATATGGCAGTTACCAAAAAATCAATGAGTATAAGGAAACAAACCAGACAAAACCTTCATCGCAAATCACAGAGCCAGAAGAGAAATAGACAGAGAGGATGGTGCAAATAGGTGACCAAGAATGTAGAGCCTGGTGTTAATGGCATTCACATGGGAATCAACAATTTGATCGATTGGGTGGGTGACACCTGCAACAGGAGTGAGAATTTCTAATGTGTCCCAAGTTGTAGAGCTATGAGCAAGTTAATACAGGATGTCTATTGTGTAATGGTCGCGGTGTACATGGGGAGTTGAAATCCTGATGGAAACCCATGAAAGGATGACCAACTATGGGTGTCCCAGGAAGAAACCTTGAAGTGCTCACTCCCCCCATGTTTTGTAACCATGCCTTTTTTGAATATAGGAACTTCCTCAGTTTTAATAAAGCAGTCTCTCCATTTTCACCATCCCAGGAGGGTCATATTTTTATTAACTGCCACACCAGGTCATTTTTTTGTGTAGATTCTCTCCTGAGTTTCAAAAAAAATAAATCTCATATTTGTATTTCAATGCATAAATGGCTATTTTCTCAAGACAGAATACAGGTTTTTTCTGCAGATTGGATTGTCATACTCAATTAACTGGATCCAAGTATCCCTTTTCCTTCTTCCATCAAGGCTGTTCACATTAAGAAGAAATACAGGACATTTGGAAATATTAACCTCTTCTCCATCAGCCTTAAGATCATTTTTAATATAATAATTAATTAGTAATAATTACTTTTGTGGTTTTTCACTTCAAAATATTCCTAAAATCTTACTTACCTTTAGGTTTTGTGATCTCAAAATTAAGCCAAATCTGTTTCTGATTGGGTTAGATGTGGAGGATGTTTTACCATGTCTTTAAGGAAAACATCACAGTATAACATACTACTCAACTTTACTGCCATCAGACAGCCATATAGAAGTGGATTAAACTGTATAGGAATTTCCTTTGATTGCCTTTTTAATGTTTCTTTCTTACACAAACTAAAGCACTCAAGATAAAGGTTCAGCAAAACACTTTTCTCTCCAGTCATCACATCCTGTTACTGCCAAGAGTAAGAAAGCTGCTATCCCATTTTCTCATTGGGAATGAAATATATACCATGACAGTCTTAATTTAATAACAGAACAAGGACATAAGGCCCACAGGACATGCACAGATATCTAGGACAATAAATCTATTCCAAAGCCTGCATCCCTTCCTCTCAAGTGCCCTTCAAGTGCAGATCACAGGTTGGAAGAATACGCCAGGTGGCTACCAGCTGTTTTCAGTGTGATTTGCCTGAAAGCTCAGCTGGTCTTTCCCATTAGGTGACACTCCATGAGAGTCACTTCATATCAAGAATATACCATATAACCCGTGACAGGAGAGGAGGGGGTCACCTTAGAGGTGTCTACCATTCTGTTAAGCTACTGATCAAGTCCAGATCTGTCTAAAAATTAATGGGAAGGCTGATATACATACATCAATTAACACTGGAAAGATATTTTCTTTTAACTATGCATGAAAGGGATAATATTGCCACATACTGCCCTAACAGCAGTGAATCAGTTGCAGTAAGGGAATCGCTGCATTTTACAGTTTGTTGCAGTCACGTTCAGAAACAAGGCCTGGTTCTTCTCTCTGTAAAATTAGTTCATCTAAGCCCAACATTGCTCCCATCCCTACCTCAAGATTCAGCCACCAAATTCCTAATTAAGATATGCTAGACAGGACAACTTGCAAAGCACATTTCATTCCTCAAAAGGCACCAGAGTAGCAATATCTTCCCCTAATGTCTAGTAAATACAAAGCAAGGAAAGCCCATGCTTACCAGGCAATCACTGGCACTCAGATACAAGTCAGACTCTGTCAAGGAATCACTTGAAGGTCATGACACACAGAAGAGTCTGATGAATCAAACATGTAACCCATCATACAAGATCTGCTACTGTCTCCTAAACCCCAATTAGCACCACTCTTATCTTCCACTCCCTTATCTTCCACTCCTCTGCCAAGCTCTTAAGCACACAGAGGGCTTCCTTTCTTTGTAAAACTAGACATCTACTATTTATTTTGTATCAAAGATTTGTCTGGATCTGTAAAGCCCCCTGAAATGCCATATTGTACAGTAATTTCCATACTGATGAAATACAAAGGTTCTGTAATGTTTACAAAGCCTTTTAAACTCCATGAGTAAAACTGTTTTGCTAAATGACATTTTCCAACTTATCAGTCCTTATTATTATGCTATATATAAGCTCATTTCTTCCAAGAGTCACCCCTATTCGCATAATCAAATCATATAATTTGAAACGCTGAGACCTTGTCATATAAAATGTTTGAAACTATCTTGAAGATGGCAGTGTAAGGAATGCTGCTACCCAAAAATATTTATGAGAAGTAAAAGCTTTTGACTTAGATTTCTTGAAATTATATATTTTAAATATCAGAGACACAAAGTGTTTAAAAGCCATTAAAAACCACAGGTCACATAAAAGGAGGATTCAGGTTCTGAAATGCTTGTCCTGAATCATTTCAATGTGAATACTAAAGAATGAAAATCTACTATGAAATTACAGGAGTATTTCTATAGACTGACAAACTTACTTTATAGTAATATATTCTTCAACGTCAAGCAGTACAAACAAGATATCTGAAATTATTACCAAATATAATTACTTAATTACCTTCAAAATAATGATTATATGAACAGTGAAATAAGTTTCATAGACTGAAGTAAAATCAAAATCCCTGTCAGAGACATTTATCCAAAGCAAAAAACATTTTTTTAAACACGTGTGTTTAATACAAAAGAAAAGTAGAGCACAGTTTTTCAACAACCGGAAAAAAGCTCAAAAAACACTTTGAAAAATCAATTCTGCCACTTATTTTGCTTTTGCTGGGCACACCAATTTTCACACCTTAGTCAAATATCCAGTGCATGCATATGGCTTCTCTATTTTACCTCATTTTAAGAGAAAAAATTTCAGAAAACGTATCTCCAAGAAACATCTGACACTGTACATCCACATGATTAAATAAAAGAGTGGAAAACCCAGCAGTACAAGTATCACACACTTTACAACAACAACAATCACTTATTTGCAAGCCACTGGCCATAATCCTTCTCCTTAATATATTAATGCTAGACATCTCTTAAGATATTACATCAATAGGAAAAGCTTTAATTCTCCCTTGCATGAATAAAGCACATCATCTGACCTGAACTGAAACTATTCATTACTAAATCACTTTCAAATGAAACAATACTAACCTTCAAAGATATCTTCATATAATGAGCTGTCTTTGTTGACCATTTTGACTAGTTACAGACTTTCTATCTAGTCCATAATCTTTTAGGAAGGCTAATGAAGTCTAAGAAATGAAAGACAAGTCCAGTCAATATTATTTAAGGACTTCTTTTTACACTCTTGTTCAGTACAAAGATACACAGCATTGCAGAATCATTTAGCATCAATTTCTGCCACCAAACCCACGGTGCAGATTTAATCTTAAATAGATATGCTCTCAAGGACAAAGAAAATTAACTCATATCAATCAGACCTGAAAGATGTTTTCACCAGTGCCTCAGGACTGTCCACTGGTGGTAGTTCATCTGCTAAGATTTCATCAGGAGGTCTAGGGTCATTGATGATGGTTGGCTTTGGCCTTTCCTTGAAGTTGCTGGTCAACCCACCAACAGTGGTGTTCCACAAGCAGTTTTGTGACTTAGACCCTGAAAAAACAGAGCAAGAAGGAAAATAAATTCATAGGTTTATTGCCCAATCTGTCAGCAGTCTGGAAACCAAAGGTGGTCTGCTATCATTTTACCTTTGCAGAACCACAATTTGGAATTAAGCCTGGAAGCCTGAAAAAAAAGTTCTAAGTGGAAACATGGTGGGTGATATGGGGTGTATAATTTTCTCTCGATCTCCAAAGGCAGAATTTGTTGATTACATTTCCTAAATGAATACCTCTGTCTCATTCAAGCGATTCTGGTACCCAGTGTTCAGGTATTCCTTTAGCAAGTTTTTACTACTCTTCCTGTGCCAGTCCTTCTTTTTGGAAAGGTTTCTGCCCAGCCTGACAGATGATCTACTATTACTAACAAGTAGGCTCATGGTCTTAGATGTCAGTCTGAAACCTGAGAATTTTTGACAAGTTGGACAGTTGTTTGTGATTCATTTTGCAGTAGCAAAAATTCCTGGAGCCACCCATATTTTTTGTACTTCGTTAGCTATTGCCTCTGTCCCTCCATGGGCTTTATCATGAAACTATTTAACCACATTGATTAAATACTTCTTTGGCAGAATCAGTTTTGCCCCAATTTACCATATTCCATCATAATTTTGAGTTTGCATCCCACTTTTCCCACTGGCTCTTCTGTTGAGCAGTCCTTCTCATACATAGGCCTTATGTCTCTCAAATTTAGCTGTTCACTCTGGTCAACAGTCAAGAGCCACAGTCGTACATTGCATCAGAGGTCAAATGGCTGCAACCTCTACAGCTGCATCAGCTACAGCATTCCCTCTACCAGTTTCTGTAATGCCTCTAGTGTGGACTAGTCAATTTGTGCAGCTAACTGTACTGATTATAGGCAATTGCATATTTCCTCACCGTTAGATACTCTCTTCCCTGCTGATATGAAAAATTCCCATTCTTTCCATAATTTTCCTGCTTTGTGACATAGCCCAAAAGCATACTGAGATCCTGTATAGATATTCAGGTGTGCTGCACATGTGTCAAGGCTACTAGTTCTGCTCAGTGACCTTGTCCTTGCTGGGAGTGATTCTGCTTCTATTACTTGTCCCTGGCTTACCACAGCATACCCAGTCCATCAACGTCCTTGCAGGCAGTAGAATGAAATATTCACAAAAAGAACTAGATCTTGGTTACATGAGGGAACATTAGCTAACTCAGTCTGTGCTTTACTTGAAATATGCATCCCTTACAATTGTGATGTTTTTCATCACAGAATCTTTAAGGTTGGGAAAGACCATCAAGTCTGACCATTAATCTAGCACTGCCATGTACACCACAAAACCACGTCCCCAAGTGCCACATCTGTAAGTTTTTTGACCATTTCCAAGGATGGTGATTCCCCACTTCCCTAGGTAGCCTATTCCAATGGCTGATACTCTTTCTATGGAGAAATTTTCCCTACTGTTGATCTAAACATTCCCTGGCACAACTTGAGGCCAGTTTTGCTCATCCCATCCCTTGTTACCTGGGAGAAGAGACCAATTTCCACCTTCTTTCTGGTAGCTGTAGAGAGGGAGCGCTTAAGTCTCCTCTGAGACTTAAGACTCTCTGCAACTCTTCTTCAGACTAAACAATCCCAACTCCCTCAGTTGCTCCTCATAAGTCTTGTGCTCCATATCCTTCACTATCTTTATTGCTCTTCTTTGGCCATGCTCCAGAACCTCAATGACTTTCTTGTAGTGAGGGGCCCAAAACTGAAGACAGGATTCAAGATACAGCCTCAAATCATCAGGCAAAGTTATTATGCTTGCTGAATCCAATGTGTTACATGTTTTTAAGAATAAGTTAGTGGCCATTAGGAGTATTAGTTCATATCTATGTGCCCATTGTGTCCACAGAGCTTGGGTTGCATACTGTCCCAACATTATTTCCACCTCATGTGGGACATGGACTGTTACAGCATAATCCAGGGTAAGGGGATAAACTTTTCTCCAATATTGTTGTTGTTGCTGTCACTGATTTAATACAGGCTAGTGATCCCACTGTAAGTGGATCTAGTTGAATTGAATAATATACAGCTGGTTTATGGTGAGGTCCTAATTTCTGCATTATTACCCTGCTGGCTATGCCTTTACATTCATGAACACACAGAATGATAAATTTTTGTATAACCTAGGAACATGAGAGCAGGAGCAGATGCCAAAGCTCCTTTCACTTGCTTTAAAAGCTTGCTCTCTCTCTGGGCCCCACATAAAAGGTTCTATCTCTTTGTTCTTGGTTGTCTAAGTCAGAGACTTAATCAGTTTGCCTAACTCAGGAATTCACAGCAACCCACAGCTCTAAAAAATCCTCATGCCTGTTTTTTCACTACCAGACGTAGGAGCTTAATTATAGACACTAGTCTTTCTGGGTCTGTCATTCATTGCCCCTTCCCAAAACAAAGGCATTGTAACTCTCTTTTGACACATATGAGACTCGGTAGAAGTGCATGGTGACCCTTCTTTGCTAGGGCAATACATAAATGTATAGCATCTAGTATACAAGCATTCTCACCCCTATTTGCCAATAACAAATCATCACATATTGCCCAACAACCAATAGTGTTACACCTTAATTATAGTGCAGTAAGTGCCAAAATTCTCTGCACATTAAACAGGCCTCTACCTCTTGTAAAGCACAACAGAACCCAATAGCAAGAGTATTTTCCTTTCCTTTTCACTGAAAGGTCAATACAAAACATTAGGCAATAGATGCTCAGGCACTACTCTTAGCATGTCATCCTCCTGGAAGCAAATGAAACAGTGTCTTCCAGGTCAACATAAATAACACTATTTTGAAAAGTAAAAAGGTCTCCTGCTGCTCTGACCATGCCACTAAACTAGATCACAGGTGATGCCCTCCATTTAGGAATAGATCTAATGAAATCTCCTTGAGAGTAACTACAACAGTTCTCATTATTCTGGAGGAAATATTCAAATTTATCTGTGTGTTTATCGTTCTCTTACCTAATACAAATGTACATGTAGAAAAATGTGCTTTTATAAATATTTTCAAAAAGTATACATAAAATATTATCATAAGCAAGTACTAGTCCACAGAAAATCTCATACAAAAAATAATGCTGTGTTTCAGTTGATGTGCACCTTCTGAAGAACCTGCTCTTGGCATGGTATTTTAACTTTACATCCCAACAATCAAATCAAATAGTTACATCTAAATCTGAATTCACATAAGTTTTCCAGAAAAAAAAAAAAAAAAAAAGGACACAGCACACATTTTGAAGATGAGTAAACCTCAACAAGCAGGTATCCTGGAATCATCCCTTTTGAATAGGATCCTTGTGCACACACTAGGAACACATATAAGTGAGCAACCACCTATAAAGAACTGGTAAAAAGTACTATCTGCTTTGCCATTGACTAGGAAATACAGTGAAATGCCTATATTGAAATAATAAAAAAGAGGAGCTGTTTTAATTGAAAAACTGTGAAAGACAAGCTGCTTTCACTGAAAACTGTAAAAGGCAAGTTGCTCTAATTGAACAAATTACAAGAGTCATCACTTTAATTGACAAGTGTTTAACACATGTTGCTCCAATTAAACACCTGTTCTCTAATTCAAAAACCATTAATGACAAGGTGCTTTAGTTTAAAAGCTGTTAAAGACAAGTGTCCTGAACTAAGGAAGAGTGAATCTAATTTAAAAACTGCTACATGGTAAGGGCTTCAGATAACCGCACCCTCCCACATAAGGTATGCAGTAATGGACCAGCCAATGGGCATTGAAAGCATACTGTTGGTTTTAATTAACACAGTGTTAAGCACGTTTCCATCAGAAATTAATTATGTGAGTTAAAAAGGCATATAAGCAAATTTCACAAAAATTCTTAATTTTACTTGAAAGGATAAGCTTTCCACTCAGTATGGGGAAATCTAAAGGATGTAAGAACTTTAAATTATCTGACCATGCAGGCTACCTGTGATAATACTTAAACTGTTGTGATTTCCTATAACATGTTGAGACGACCATTTCTTTTGCTAAAATATGGCACAATCAGCACAGTTGAATGCTGAAGTTTACCTGTGAACAAAGAAAAATAAGTTGCCATTCAGCTGCATGCAGCACACTCAGGACAGCAGGGCACCAGCGCTTTTAGAAAAAAAGCTGCTCTGGACTAGTAAAATCCCATTTTGTTGAAAAGAGGTTCTCTAAAACTACTTTTATAACTTTCATGTTTTCCCTGCAATTATTCCAAGGAATCTGTTTCCCAAACCCCACCACCTTTTTCCCTGTTTCCTCAACTCTGCTCTTTGTTTTATTTCACAAGTGACCTCCAGTTTGTCAACCACTGGACAGCTACATGGTTCAGAAAAAACACATACTAACCCTTTTCTGCAATTATTATGTTAGGGAAACTTCCCTATCCAACCATCTGGGAGCCACTCTGGCAGTCTCACTCGCACCATCTGAGCTGGGACCCTTACAGTCTATGCGCCCTATGTGCCCAATAGTCTGCAGTCTTCCTTTTGAGTCATCAGCTCTTGCTGTGTCTCTGAGTGGTCAGTCATCTGGCTAGCACCAGGATCTGTGCCAGGTCATGGCTCGCTGCCTGGGCTCCTGCTAATTTTTGCCATCCAGGGTGCAATCTGCAGCTTGTACTGCAGCTGCTCAACGAGCTAGCTGCACTAGATGTAGTCCTCAACAATACTGATTTCAAATCCTTGTGGATAAGTTTAAACATTTGCAAAAATGCTTTTTCCTCATTGTATTGTCTCCTGTGAAAGATGATTATAGCTAGAGGCAAAAGTAAAATAGGTTTGGGTGTTATAATTTTAAAAGCAGAACTGTGCTTAAAGAATATGTGTGTAAGCGTTCAAATACTTCCATATAGCCTGCAAATATTATTACAATGCAAGTCTAGCTGGAGCACTGATAACCTCAAACCTGCCATTCCCACTGTCTCACTTAACACCACCAGCAACCTTTCCTTCTTCTTTGTTCCTTAGTTAAAGGGGGAAACAGTTAAATACTCCATAGACCTATGGATAATAATCAGGATGGAGAAGGTTCATTTGTGTTTTGGTATTGTATCCTGTGTGATTGTGTGCAGAGAAAGCTAGATCAGGTAAACAAGGTCAGTCTAAATGGGTATGGCTTGTTAAACACTGATCTGATTTGATCCCACTGAAGTTTCCGAAAGCTTCATGGTTGACTTCAAACAGGCAGCTGTCTCAGAGCAACGTAAATCCTGCTCTTTTTTGTGATGATGAAGGTCATAATTGCAGTTGAATTTAGCATTTGAGTGAGTGTGAAAAGTACAATCGAAAAGGATATCCAGGCTCTGGTTTCTGACTCAAATACAAGGATAATGACAATAATCCTTTATAACTTTAGTTATTCTTCAATTCTTGTCCTCAGAAGCTGCAGATTTTTCTGCCATTCAGTCAGGATGTTTTTGAATTCTTGATCTGAACTTCACTGTTTGGTTAGTGAAACATTATATGATAGAGTACGTTATAGTACTCTCAGCATAAATTTCTATATCATCCATTTAACTCATGTTAGCACAGCACATGCCTAGACATTTCCCTTCTTTTCACAGCACAACTCCCCTTATAATTTTCCTTTCTATTCCGACAGAGTTGTCACCTTATATTGCTCATGACCACAAAGTCATGATACCCTATGAGAAGCTAGCTAGATCATTAAATCCTCAACCTGACTCTCAGATCACTAAATTTAAATCCTAAAAATGAAGGTCCAGTTTAGACTTCAGAATTATCTCCCTTCGTTCCTATATTATGCCTCGGTGACTATTTCCCAGGCAGGCTTTTCTGTACTTCTTTGCATTATGTTTCTGTTACTGTCAAATAGCCTGAAGCCTTGATTTCATCTCTCCACAATCTCATACAGCACTGAGTCATACAGTGAGGACTTATAAGGACATCTCTTCTGCTTTCATTCAGCTGATAGCCATCTACTCCTTTATTCTTTTTAATGTAACATTAGGCACCCCTAACTCTGCAATTAAGGCTTGACTGCCTTGTTGAGAGCCAAGATTAAAGCAGGAACAGAACCCAGTTTTTCTTGGGTCTCAGACCTTCACCCTATACACATTCACCAACAGTCAAGTTCTTATGAATGTCAGAATCAGAACTGAAATGCCAGCTCTGTTTCAGATGTCGTGATATTGCATTTGACCTACTTGTCAGGCAATATTGCAGCATAAAGTCTTTGTGTCATGGTTTGGGAATGGTATTCTCCAATTCTATGCTCCCACTAAAACCACACTGCCACTTGCTCCCCCCTTGATCCCTTCCCCTCAACAGGTGGCTGGAGAGGAGAATTGGAGGCACAAAAGGCAAAGATGACAGGTTGAGATAAGAACAGTTCACTGGAAACAGCAATGAGACAAGAAAACAAAGAGTAACAGCAACAATATTAATAACAAAAGTGGAAAAAAAAGAGAGAGTGATTCACATGCCAAAATGCTCCCTGTAGAGCTCAGGATCTGTATGCAACCTGAAGAGAGCCCTTCCTTCTGGAAAGAGACTGCCTTTCCCCCACCCCCAGCAATGACTTGAGGTGGTACAGAATGACCTTGGGGTCCTAGCCATGCCCTCTCCTGATTACTGCAAAAAAATTAACCCTGTTCTGGCTGGAACCTGGCCTTGTAACCCAATATCCAGGAATAAGCAGTACTTGGGCAGAATCTTCCAGCTGTATACCTCGTATATTTTCAGTGTTGAATCAGTCGCAACTGATTAATAGCCTTTATAAGTTTTCCTATCTACAACATGAAGGAAAATCCTAAATCAGGAATAAGTGATGCCAGTACAGTTCTCTCTGAGTTATGTTCAATCCACACCATCACTTTGTAACATTCAACAGATATCATAGCCACAGAAGTTCCTTCTATATTATACACCTTAGCTATCTACTTACGTGAGGTATGGCATGCTCCGAAGGCCATCCTGTAACTGTGTGAAATACTGAACCCTAGAGGTAAAATTATTTTGCTGGTTTGATCTGCAGTGCCCATGATGATGGTAAATGCCCCCCTCCTTTTAATCACGAGAAGGGGATTTTTCCACTGCTAAGTGATCATAAATCACCATGAAACTTGTATTATAAATGGGATGTCTTATCTTCATGCTCATTTCTACATATTTATCATGTGTTTCTAATAATTCATTTGGTCACAGTCATGGTCAGTTAGTGCTACATTACTAGATGCATCCCATGGTTTTGTTCAAACCTAGGTCCATTATTTCAAAACCCAAGCCATATCTTTAGTTCTTAATCTTCTTGTGTGAAGCCAAGAGTGTTGAAGGAGATATCAGTAAACTTCAATAACATTTTTCATATCCTATTTCTACGATTTGACAAATTTGACAAATCTCTTCATCATCACTGTGGTGAACTTCAGGTGGCTTTGCGAAACGTAAAACTTTTTGTGCTTGAAACAATAGTAAGGCCACAAAGCCTTCAATTTGTTTAAATTTGCATCAACTATTCAATAAAACTGAATTTCTGTAAGCGATTTTTCCAATTAAGTACTATGGTCCCTCAGTTTAGTACATTAGTACATTAGTTTCATTTAGTAAATGAAATTTAGTAAAAGGGCAGACATAATATGAGATTAAAAGGTTTATTAGATGCGTTTATTTCAACCAGTTAAAAACGAAAAAACTACTTACGGGCAAATAGTGAATGTGGTTGTGCGTGTTTGACACCTGTCTCATTTGCAACTGAAAGGAAAAATTACAGAGAAATAAAAAGCATTAAATTTAAATGTTATATTAATATTAATGATAATACAATTTTTTATGCATCTGTAAGAGAGAACACTGTTCACAGTAACACTAGTTGCATTAGTGAGTACAGTAAGAAAAAAGTAAAATTAATCCATCTATGTAAATTAAATGTCCCAGTAATTTTGTAAGCCCAGAGGATGATTTAGTAGCAAACTGAATGAAATTAAAGGATCTGTGCAAAGGAATCCTCTGACATTTGGAACTGCATGTAGATATCACCTAGGATAAAAACTGCGCAAATCCTGCTTTTTTTTCCTGCCTTAGATTCATACTGGCATAGATCAACATTTCTGTGACCCAGCCGGTACACAGTTAGTCAAGAGCATAAACGATTGTGTGGGATTCCCACAATATTAACTATAGCTGAAAAAGAGGAAAGTTTTCTAGGAGGGGAATTACCATCCACTCAGGACTTTTTTTTTTTTTCCTAGAGCTAGAAGAATCATAAGGAAGAGCATTGATAAGCATATTATAAGATCACAGAGAAACCTTGCCAATTCTTTGCTTTCTTTTAAAATGCTGTTTTCTATATACAAGACAAACCAAGCTAAGAAATCTCATAAAAGGATGCAAACTACGACAAGAACAGAGACTCACAGGTTCCTAGCAAGGAATGTCAACTAAACTATAATGGGCTTCCTGAAGTCAGAAAAGACTTCGATGAAATTTAATTCTTATGTCAAGGCTTAAGGTTGTCAGTTTAAGCTTGGCTTTATTTAAGGCCCATATCCAGTGTCACTGAAGCTTTCTTATTTCCTCCTCAATCTCTACCTGCTGATTAAGATGGCTCTAGCACTCACTTTAGTGAACAGAGGAGCTTTTAATAAATCACTGCCTCATTTTGCCCCATTAACCAGCAGACAGTGTCCTTATGACACTGAGTGCCTCTGTATTATCCTGAGAAACTCACCAGGTTGGCTGGAGCAAAGGCCCTGAGATCTTTCAAGTCCTGCAAGATGCCCTTCCTTGGCTTAAGTCTGTCACAGAAACTGAAGCACAAACCACAACCAAATAAGATCTCCTGGGACATTGTGTGCAAACATTGGAGTGATTGTACAGAGTTATGCAGGTCCAGAGTAGTTCATAGTTTCAAAGTCAAAACTGGCTCTGCTTCAGGTGATGACATGGTGAAGCGTAAGAGTACACATCCTTTTGGAAGAATTTGTAACAAAGAGTTAGGACTTGTTTTCACTTAGGAAGTCTTTCCTGCCTAAGAGCATTTTTCTCAAAAATAGTTCAATGTTTTTCTTTCCCTTCTCATTTTGCATCCCAGAGAAAGCCACAGGCTCTCTCTTTCCCTGGAATACATAAACAGATGTTGCAGGCAGGTACAGCAGAGAGGGCCTGGAGGAGAAGATAACGGGCGTGCGAGAGAACGGGAGGTGTGTTTTCCTGAGGTCCAGTGCTTTCACAGCTGGTGCAGGATTTCTTTGTACATTTTTACTGTTCTCGACTTCAGAATATTCTTTCCGCTGCCTTGGCGTTTTTGGGGGTACCTGTGGTTATCTTACCACACAGAGAGGCAGCAGCATCCTCCATGGGGCTGGTATCAAAACAGCTGGATCCAGTGACATCAAGAAGCACGCCTGAAAATACTGCTATAGCCAATATGTACAGGTCAAGCGGACAGGCTTTGTCTTTAACTCAGAGACAACAGCTTGCAGGGGGTAGGCTAAGAGATTGTCTGCCAGCCTGGTCACTTCTGGTGTCCTACGTGTCTCTATCGCAGCAGAGACCGGGCAAATTCCTAATATGCACTGATATCTAAATTGGAGCATCAATGAACTGTTATATTAATGAGGAAAGGATCTGCTAAGGGTCTTTTAACTATGCTATTATTTGCTTTAGAGAAGTTCCTCTACTTTCTTGGCAGATGGCACTCTCTGGTCACCAGGGGCTTCAGATGCATGGGTCTCTGTGGGAACAAGTTACAACAGCAGCACCTGCATTCAGTTAATTAGAATCAAAAGGGAGTGTTGTGGCCTTGGAGCTGAGGAGTGTGTGAATCAAAACATTGAGTTTGCAAAACATCTTGGGAATTCTAGTTAACTGAATGACAACACCAGGTGCTGTTTACCAAGAGAACCTTAATAAAAGCAGAATGCAGAAAGAGCTCTGCAGAAAATCCCACTGAATCATGGTGTGTTCAGCCTCATTTCTTCAGTGCCCATATTTGCCATAGGTCTCAACTTCATGCCGTCTTGCAACAAGACAAGTCCACCCAGCATCTGTGGTTGGGCAGCTCAGTTCCCAAATTCACGGCATCCAACACAACAAGTGTCATTAACGCTCTAAAATAAAATAAAATAAAATAATAATTTAAAAAAAAAAAAGTTTTTCTGTTCCAGGCTGCGTAAGTTTGTTTTCAATCGGCAGAGCTTTCCAATGTCATCAAATGGTGTCACATACAGAGTAATGTTCTTTCATCTGGAATACAGCCATGCAAAGCAAAATGCAGGTAGTATAGCAAAGCAACGAGCAGGACAGAAAGCACATCCTCCAGCTCTTCAAGTTTACAGAATAAATGGCTCTGGTCACACAAGCTCTAGGCTGCTCTCATTTCCAACCTCTGCCATGTCAGTCTTCAGAGTATGAACAGCACAAACCCTTTGCCTCCCTTGCCATACACACATACTTATTCCTCTTGGCACACAAGTCACCTGCAGCATGTGATGGGTCCATAATTGTTTGCTAAGAGCCTGAGAATGGCTACCAGAAAAGCTGTGAATCAGATGACAGAAGAATAACTACATAAATATATAGAACTTCTCCACAGCAAGAAAAGTAGAGAAGATCTTCTGGCTTTGGTATATGACTTTTTTTCCTTTTTTCTTAACCTCGAAGCGTCAGGCTGATTTTCTACATTTATAGCTGTCTTGGTTCTGGCCAGGACAGGGTTAATTTTTTCCAGTACCCAGGAAGGGACAAGGCTGGGACATGGAGATTATTTTATACCACCTCACGTCATTATCAGGAGTGGGGGAAAGGAACTCTTTTTCCAGGGAGAAGGGCATCCTCCTAATTGAATCACAGAATCAACCAGGTTGGAAAAGACCTCTGAGATCATCAAGTCCAACCCATGACCCTATCAACTAGACCATGGCACTCAGTGCCACATCCAGTCTCTTCTTAAATACCTCCAGGGATGGTGGATCCACCACCTCCTTGGGCAGCCCATTCCAGTGTCTGGTCACTTTCTCTGTAAAGAATTTCTCTCTAATGCCTAACCTAAACCTCCCCTGGCACAGCTTAAGACTGTGCCCTCTTGTCCTACTGTTGGTTGTCTGGGAGAAGAGACCGACCCACACCTCACTCCAACCTCCTCTCAGGTACTTGTATAGAGCAATAAGGTCTCCCATGAGTCTCCTCTTCTCCAGGCTAAACAACCCCAGCTCCCTCAGCCTCTCCTCATAGGTCCTGTGATCCCAGTCCCTTCCCCAGCCTTGTTGCCCTTCTTTGGACACTCTCCAGCACTTCAGTGTCCTTCCAAACCTGAGGGGCCCAGAACTGGACACAGTACTCAAGGTGTGGCCTAATGAGTGCTGAGTACAGGGGAAGAATCACTTCCCTGAGCTTGCTGGCCACACTGTTCCTGATATAGACCAGGATGCCATTGGCCTTCTTGGCCACCTGGGCACACTGCTGTCTCATGTTCAGTGTCCTGTTGATTAGAATCCCCAGGTCCCTCTCCACCAGGTCCCTCTCCAGCCACTCTGTCCCCAGCCCCACAGCGCTGCAGGGGCTTGTTGTGGCCAAAGTGCAGGACACGGCACTTGGTCTTGTTAAACATCATACCACTGGATTCCGCTGGTTCTCTTCTCTCAGGCCATGGCAGAAACCAATCTGACAGCTCAGAGACCACTCCTCATAGCAGACCCCTCTCTGCACCACAGTGAACATCCCTGAGACCCTGCAGCAAGGAGGACAAGAGGTTTGATCTGTCTGGGCACAAACCCATTTTCTGAAGCACAAGGGGGCTGATTTTGGCAACTGCAGCTTGGAGGAAAGCCAAAGCCAACCATAGGTATGGATGGATGGTGCCAACAGACCACCATGGAAATTGCACTGGCTTTGAAAAACAAGTTAGAGGAGGTCACCACTGGTGTGGTGGAAAAGTCGGTCATTTTCAGACCTTGAACATTTGGATCAACACTCAAAGGACATCAGTTCACAAGGAACTTGTTCACTTGAATGTCTGATTTATGAAATCTAACCTGGTATGTAAGGCTCAGATTGAATCCCATCCCAGCCTTTAAGACACCTGTTTTACCCATGCTCTTATGCTTCATGAAATGAGCTTGCATAACTGTTACCAACCACAAATCAGCACCAATTTCTTTGATAAAATAACCTGCTGTGATGTCTGAGCAATCACAGTTAAATTATACTAGCACTTACATAGAGTTGTATAAAAATATTCATGTAAAATGAATATTCAGAAAAAAATAGAGTTTCTTAATGTAAAAATTAAATTAATACACATCAGTAAGAAACAATTCAATACACTTTTCCAGGGAAAAATATTGTAAAGACTGTACATTAGTATAAATAAATAGGCAAAACCTTTCAGACTCTGGAGAAAGATTCAGAAGTGTTTCTTTAGAAGTGGGTTTTCATCCACTTTTACTTAAGTCAACTAGCGAAAAGATCTGGATAAAGCAGTTCCTTCTCCCACCTTACTTTGACCCCTCACTGAGTGCTTAGCACTGTTCCCAAAGAGTTTCCGCTGGAACTGGATTAATGGTCAGATGATATCACTGTTTTTAAACTTAAGCTCCCAGTCTCTCCTGTCATTTCTACATGCATAGAATCATAGAAAATAGTTTGGAAGGGACCCAAAAGATCATCTAGTTCCAGCCCCCTGCTGTGGACAGGGACACCTTGCACTAGACCAAGTTGCTCAGAACTCCATCCAACCTGGTCTTGAACAGCTT